GGCCCCCAGCATCTGCACCCAAACAGGGACCCCTTAGGTCACCCCCTGGACCTGCTGGGGTCGGACCCCAACACGAGAGAACCTGGCTGAAGATCCTAGAGACAGAACCTGGATAGAACATGGCAAGAGAACCTGACTAGAACCTGGTAACTGAACCTGGCTGGAGAACCTAGACAGAATCTGGCTGGAGAACCTGGAGAACCTAGCAAGAGAACATGGACACAGAACCTGGCTGGAGATCCAAACAAGAACCTCGCTGGAGATCCTGTACAGAACTTGGCTAGAGATCCTGACCAGAACTTGGCTGGAGGAACCTGGCTATGATGATCATCCGAAGGCTGCCTCCGTGTCATTCCTTCTTCGCCAACTCGGTCCACACCTTTGGGGACCCCTGGACCTACTGGGGTTGGACCCCAGCATGTCACCTCTGACACGCGTGTCATAGGTTCGCCATCACTGGGCTAGAAGATAAAATAGCATGCCTTGAGGCTGTGCTAAGTTGAACTGCCTTTTTTATTCTATATTTTTATTTTAGAAATACATTAAACCTCTGAGCCAGAGAGTTGAGATCATCAAGTACCTGTGATGATTCTTAAATTTCAAAACCTGTCTCTGCCTTCACATGATTCATTGTCTCTCCTTAATTAATAAATAAGAAGCATCTTTTCCTTTGATTCAGATTAAGGGTATTAAATAACCAATATTTGTTATGCTAATGGAGAGATTAAAGGAGTGAAAGGCATTCCTCTGTCTAGGAGCTTACCTAATAGTTTGAGAAGACAAACTGGACACACATTAGGTACATGGAAACCAAATAGATGTGATTGCTTTATTAGCAATAAAGATCAAGAGAGATGCAGATGCTATCTCCTTCTTTGGTGATAACATACACTATATTTGTAGTATTACTGTGTTTTTTAATGGAGATCTCCTAAGTTTATGTTAAATCTCTGATTAGTTACAAAGGGTTTTTAGACATCAGTTACTATTACAACATTGAATAAATATTAACAATGAGAAACTGGGCCACCATCACACCTGCCCACGTAGAGACCAGATTAAACTCAGGAGGGTGCATTTAGTTCGCCAGTCTTGGATTTTGTGAAAAGCAGTAAAGAAGGGTGTGCCAGGAAATTTCAGCTACTCATTGATTTGCTCTGAGTTTGGGAACTCATCCAGTAAAAATTGAACTTTTCTGGAGGTCATTTACTAAATATGTTTATGCATCTTTCCTCTTCATTTTACACACCCAAAAAAAGGGTGAAATATTACGCTTTTTGAGCTCTTTTTCTATGTGGGGGGTCGTGCCTTTTGTGATAATAAAGAGTAAATAAAAATGTAACTGTGCCTTAGTGTCGCACAATTGCATCATTAATGCAAAGGGTTCCTCATCCCTCTTCCCCTCCTGTTTTGCAGGCAGTCAGATGCCCCCCCAGCCACCTGGGAGCCAGTCAGAATCCAGTTCCCATCCTGCCCTGAGCCAGTCACCAATGCCACAGGAAAGAGGTGAGTCTTCAGTTTATGTTGGCCATATTTCTCATTGTGAGTATATGGGGCTTCTACGAATTTGCTTACCCATTCATATCCTTGTAAATAATTTTAAAGGATGTTGTTTCCTCATCAGATGAACGAAACAAATAAGAACCTTATATGTAACAACAAATATGGGGGGAAAGGATGCTTTCTTGCAAATTCGGTGAAATTTTACCAGAGTACTGTTCAAGATTCAAAGCATATATATGTCTGCATAGCAGCCCGAAGCAGTTTATACATAACTCTAGTCCGATATTTGAGTTAGCTGTGTAAAAATGACCATTAACAATTCAATTTGGATAGTGGTTCTAACGAGTAAAATGTTAGTGAGGGTGTTTACCTGATTTGATCAATATTTGTTCCATGACATTTAATACTAAAAGTTTAAACACACAGTAAGACCTTGTGTTAAAAATTACCAGATCTTAGAACTGGAACATCTTGAAAGATCAGGGAGTCCATCACCTCCACTTACAGAGAAGAAAGTGGGGCCTTAGAGGTTCTTCCCTGTGACTTCCTCTTTCTCAGAGGCTAGTTCCTCTTTGCCAGAGCCAGAGGGAAGGACCTCGCTGCCAGCCTTGAGCATTCAAGTTTTCTTACCCGTAATCCCTTTGACCCTCAGCTCAGCTCTGATGTTGACCTCCAGGTATCACTGCCTCTGGCCTTCATTTGTTGACATCTGGGTATTTTCTTCCCTCCGGTAGCCAAGCGACTTTGGTTGGTGGTGGTGCAGTGATTTTAATCCACATTAGTGGAGATGGGCCAGATTACTGCGCTGCTGGGAGTCAGGCTAGCCCCTCCTCCCACAGGAGGTGCCACCCTCCTGCAGGCCCCCTCCCTCTCACACTTGCCCACAAGGCAAGTCGGTAGCTTGGTAGCTAATATTTAAAGGTTCCTGACCCCTAATGTTTATAATAATTTCTATATGAGTTATATATGACTTGCTACTGGTTAGAATTATAAGGTTCAGTTATTTTACAGGTTAAAAACTCAGTAGCATGTTGCTTAGAAAGTAATGCCAGTGAAAAGATGGCTTAGCCTTACCTACACATCATTTGTGTTGAAATGACTGTTTAGTAGGAATACAATGAAATTTTGATTTTTTAATACCTTTACATATTTAACGTTTTTGTTATCATCTAATGCAGGGGTCCTCAAACTTTTTAAACGGGGGGCCAGTTCACTGTCCCTCAGACCGTTGGAGGGCCGGACTATAGTTTAAAAAAAAACAGCACTATGAACAAATTCCTATGCACACTGCACATATCTTATTTTGAAATAAAAAAAACAAAATGGGAACAAATACAATATTTGTATTTGCATGTGGCCCGCGGGCCCTAGTTTGAAGACCTCTGATCTAATATATAGTTAATTTAATACTTTCATTTACTTATCAAGTTACTACAGTATGTTTTAGTGATGGAATCGTTGATGGATGGTTTCCAAACTTTAGGGTGCATAAGGATCACCTGGAGAGCATGTTGAAATAGGTTGCTAGGCCACACCCCAGATGCCTGTTTCTGTGGGTCTGAGGTGGGACACTTAACATCTGCATTTCTGACGAGTTCCAGGTGTTGCCGATGCTGCCAATCCGAGGACCCTACTTTGAGACCACTGCTTCCTAAGGACACTATAATGAGTTTCATAAGTGTGCAATGTGTGCACTTGTTGCTCTAAACTTCCCTCTGTGGCTCCTATAAATCATTCTTGTAGCTCATCCTCTCTGTGTTGCCAGTTTGTGTGACTTCCTTGTCACACAAGGAAGATGTTACCATCCGGGAGATGTTACCGAAGTTCACAGGAAGTGCTGTAGGCCAAGCGAGGGGACCCTCCCCCAGCTCCTTTCCGTGGCTGTGTTCTGCAGCTGCTTGTGGTCCTGGGTCAGGAAGGAGGGAAAAGGACTCAAGAAATTATCGCACTGAGGTTGCTCAGGCCAGACCTGAGCCGAGACAAAGATATTTGTTATTTCACTTAATCCGTACTGAAACATCATTGCCACTGGGAGAATTCTCCTTCTTTTGCAAGCATTAAAGGATAAGAGGTACCTTATTTGAAAGCACTACAATTCTAACCTTTATCTCTACCAATTAAAAAGGGGAAAACCCTCCAAGATCCTCCAACAACGTCTTTCCCAACCCCTTCCAAATGACATGTGTTTAAGAAATTTGAAAATGTACAAAACCAAATGTTAAGGACGAAACAACAATGAGGAACCATAGTTAAATTAAGCTTTTAACTCGAATATATTAGCAAGGCAAACTCTAGGATTTTCCTCTGATGTCACTGTATAGAACAGGGGTGGGCAAACTTTTTGACTCGAGGGCCACAATGGGTTCTTTAACTCGACCAGAGGGCCGGAACAAAAGCATGGATGGAGTGTTTGTGTGAACTAATACATGTTAACACTGCTGCTGGTGAAGGAGTGGAGGGGAGAGCAAGAGAACCCTCCGCTCTTTCGGCTCCACAGGCCGGATAGAACAGCCGAACGGGCCGGATCCGGCCAGTGGGCCGTAGTTTGCCCACGGCTGGTGTAGAAACTACTGGGTTGATATGTCTGCTTCTGTTTTCCCTCTGATTTTCTTTATTTTGTGTAGAGTGGTTTTGGTAACTGATAATCCTATATAATTAAAGCCTAATATGCTAAGTGTCCGGTGGTCCGTTCAACCAATCGAAGCATAATATGCTAATGATATGCTAAGGCTGCTCAACCTCTCACTATGACGTGCACTGACCACCATGGGGCAGATGCTTTGACTGGTAGGTTAGCTTGCTGGTGGGGTCTGGCCGATCGGGACTGGACGAGACGGGCCGGACACACCCTAGAGCCCTCCCACAGTCCCTCCCCGCTGGCCAACCTCCCACGTCCTCCTCAGCCCCAATTGTGCATCAGTGGGGTCCCTCAGCCTGGCCTGTACCCTCTCGCAATCCGGGACCCCTTGGGGAACATCAGAGAGCCTGGTTTCAGCCTGATCTCACAGGCCAGGCCGAGGGACCCCACTGGTGCACGAATTTGTGCTCTGGGCCTCTAGTGAATACATAACAATGTGGGTAGTTAGAATGACCATTTCCTTCAATTAGCAAATATCCTATATAATAAAAGTGTAGTATGCAAATTGTTCCCTCAACCGGGAGTTCGACCAAGGGGTGGGGCCAGCCAGGGGAAGGGAGGGAGGCCCCAGCTGGCGGTGGCAGGCAGTATCCAGCCAGCAGCTGCTAGGGACCATATCAGTGCACGAATTTTGTGCACTGGGCCTCTAGTGAGTTTTATAATTTGCTAAATCTGACTTTATTTTCATGAACATGTTCACCAAACTTTCTCTGAAAGACTGTGTTGGAGACATGTGCCTCTTGCTGGTTGGACAGCCCCCACTGAAGGGGAAAACTTCATATTTCAGAATGACTCTTGGATGATGCTTTTCCATTTAGGAGTTAAATTTTCTTAAAAACTGGGTAGTAAGCTATACATCCAAAACTAATGCAGAATGCTGTTGAATGTAGCCTGTAATTAGGGGGGTGGGGGGGTGGCAAACAGGATTATTGCATTTCCATATGTATTTCAAATAAATAAATTTTTTTTCACAGCCCTGACTGGTTTGGCTCAGTGGATAGAGCATTGGCCTGCGGACTAAACGGTCCCAGGTGCGATTCCAGTCAAGGGCATGTACCTTGGTTACGGGCACATCCCCAGTGTGGGGTGTGCAGGAGGTAGCTGATCGATGTTTCTCTCTCATCGATGTTTCTAACTCTCTATCCCTCTCCCTTCTTCTCTGTAAAAAATCAATAAAATATATTAAAAATAATTTTTTTCATAGTGGAAAAAAATGCTGGGCAGCAAGAATTTTTTAAAATGGCTTTGTTATTTGTTAAAATCCAGGAAGAAATGTTAGCTCCTAATGACATTTGATCCGATGTTTTAATGGTAAATGGCAGTCATTTTAATGCTTTGATACAATAATAAAAACATTTTTCTTGCTTGTTTTTACCATCATGTGTACCAACAGTATGTATAGTACAAAGTAGATCTAGGAAAACACTTGCTAGGCTATTCCCCATTAATTTATACCTTTACAATTAATATATCATGCTCCTCACCCCCCAATTAGGAAAATGATGAAAGAAGCAGAGAGGGAAAAGTGTATCGGTGAGTAGTTAGCATCTTGCGAAAAAAATGTATTCTTCTCAGAAACCATAAGAACATACCTTCTGTGCTGCTGAGTGCTGAAACCACCAAATTGAACAGGCCCTTCTATACTCATCTTGTTTTAATAATAAGATTAAAAGTCAGATTCCACATTTATACACAGTTTTTTAATGGCAAAGAATCAAGAAACTCACTTGTCCGAGACACCTGCTCAGGGCAAGAGATGCAGCCTGTGCTGGGAGGTGCCCTTTCCTGGTTCTCCCCAAAGTCCTCCTGGGGGACAGCAGTGCTGACATATGACCCGGAGCCTAGGTCCCTCCAGGTTCCAGGTGCTGAACGCCAGCTCTGCTGTTGCTTCTTGTCTTGTATCCCGTCAGGAGGAACATTTATTTAACCACTGTGTGCTCTGTTAGCACACCTGAGTCAGTCCTAAGATCTGAACCACACTGGCCACTGCAGGGCCATATCCCGGGGCAGGGGCTCTCATGGCCGCCAGGCCCCACCCCTACCCTGTCTCCAGCGCAGCGTCCTCTTCTGGCGGTTCTGGACATCAGCCACAAATCCACTTCCCCACCTTAAATAGAGGTGGAAATAACTGCATTTCTATAGTTCTGTATTGTCCACCTATGAAGATGTTTGTGCAGTTAAATGTGGACGTGGCCATCATGGGTTCCCCAGAGAAGGGAAGCACTTGAGGTGTTTATTGGCCTCTATTCTTCGGTACATTGTCTTCTCTGTACTGTCATCTACTTCTCAACATAAGCTTGATTTTATTCTCTCCTGTTTGAACTTTATATAGTGTTGGAACTGCTTCCTAATTTAAAGAAAATTA